TAGCTCAATCAATGCTGACAGCACTTCGCGGACTCAACTCACATGAACGACATAAGTCAAGGCCTTCTTACTTACGTCACTGCACTTGGACTCCCAGGTGCGAGCTGCCCCACAGTTCCTTTGCCGTCCAGAGGAGGGTAAGGACCAGTGACAGGATGCGGGGACCTGCCTGGAGAATGCACAGCATTCGTTCACAATCTGAGAGCAGCAGACCTGGTTCTCCAACATATCGGAGACCTTAGCAAACCAAGTGTGATATTTTACGGATAAATGCCCAGGATTTAACCCTCCAGACACTTTGGTTAACATCAACTATCATCACCTAATGCAGGAACAATACGGATAGGAAATCAGAGCCGTTTGTTTTTAACAACTAGCATCTGATGAGGACTCATCTGTACCCGGCACAAGCCTAAGACCTTGACACAAGTTCTCTCTTTAGCCCTCGAAATATCCTGAGTTAGTTACCATTTCACCCCGTTTTACAGGCAAAGAAACGACAGGGGCTTAGAGAGGCTGAGCAGCTGTTCCAAGGGCACAGAGCTAGCAAGTGGCTGCCAGGAATTCGAACCCAGCTGAGCGGAGCCATGCGGCCTCTGACTGGCATTTGATGCAGACAGTAGACTTTTCAATTAACGTGATAACTGTGGAGTAAGATAAAATATAACATCAACACTTAGACCACTGCCTTCCATTAACATTTTACTGCTCACAGCACCAAAGGCAGTGTTGCTCAGTCATTCTAACAGTAAGAAAACAAATACTATTTACCTTTTTCCGGTGAAGGACACAATCACACAATATACACAGATATCTAATATCAGGTGGGCACAGATAGTCTAAGACAATCATGAAGCTAAGGAAATACAGATCTGTTTCTGAGTATTCGGGGTAGTGTGAATAAATAACACTATTCTACTCCAGGAACATAATAAAACAATGTTAAAAAAATTTAAACCTCAAGTAGTTATAATTTTAGATAAATAAAGCCTTTGAAAATGTTTTAAAATTCCATTTTGCTGTCTAAAATTATAAAGCCTCAAATGAATCATCATATGTTGTTTAAAAAAACTTTAAAGTTTAGCACCTAGGAAAGAGCCTTACACATAGGTTCCAATAAATCAGTGGAATGAATGGCTGAATTCATGAATACACTTTTAAAAACAGATAGACATTGTTCTTTCGTTATGCTTGGGAATTTTTTTTTAAATGTATGACATTTCCTTATTAGGAATTATTTTTTTTGAAAGGAATCCCAGGATCAATCTCTAGTTCAAGAAAGGAAAGGAAATAACTATCATCCTGAGAGACAAATAGAAAAAAACTAAATAACTGGCCAAAAAATTAAGAAAAGAAATGAAGATTTTGCCTTTGCAGTGAGATAGGAGAGGTAAAAAGAAAAGCAACATCTTCAAAATGTTTTTATTAACATTTAAGAAAATATAAAATTGTTCTCTTTGCAGCAGCATGAAAACACACAAAATAAATGCGTGCATTTAAGCCACTGTAACTGGCATAAAGACATTTCCCAGTATATAAATAACAAAATGGTTGGGTAAGCTCAGATCAAGAAAATATCTCTTTCTCAAAAGCATTTTCATGAGCTGGGTTACCTTGGGAATTCAACAGTTTATCCAATGTGCTCTCAAAAATAACTATTCATTTTAAACAGAACTTCTAAAAACTAATATGAGCAGAAAAATACAAATCACTCCAGTTATTTCCACACAGTCAAATGTTAGGTTAAATCTACACTGACCAAATGATTCAGTAGACCTCTGTCCTGTAAAAGGAAAACAAATAAACAGAGAGGTACACAGAGAATAGCGTAGATTTCTAGCAACACTTTCTACACCATCCCAACAGAGCAGTGTTCTTTCCCCAACCACAAATCTGAGATTCCCCAAGTATTCTCCACTCATTAGGAAAATCAATAGCATTACCTGCGGGGTGCGTGGGGTTGCTTTTGCAGGAGGCTTTTATCTCAGTTTAGCAACATAAAAAGAAAGAACACAGGATGTATACAACCTTGGCGCTCACCACGACGGTGGCCTCCTTAATACAATTTGCTAAAAGTGTTGCGGTTCAGTTTGACAAAGCTGATCTCATGGTTCTGCCAAACTGCAAAGCTAATGGGACAAACAAATTGGCTGATTGGACTGTACATCAGGTAAAGCAGACCCTTAAAATCAAAGAGTTATATTATTTAAAGAGACATGGTTATTTTTTAAAAAGGAAACTGAGGTAGCAATATTTTCAAAAATAATTAAAAATAAAATTTAAAAGATAATAATCCAAATTGAATATGATTTGTACTTTCTAACTCCAGCCTGCACTTGTACATCATTTCCGTAGATGAAGCATGAATAATTTGTGTTAGAAAAACTAATATATACATATAAAACACACCAAGCCATGGATGGGTAAATGTTTGGTGCTAAATAACAGAGATAGTTAAGCAGCAGAAGGCAAGATATTCACCCTTAAGAAGGTTACATATTAAACAGCCCTGGGTTCTGCCTGGTACTTGCTAGAAGGAATCTGCAGGGAAAGAACCCTGATGCCTGATTCGATGTGTAACAAAGCATTTAAAAAAACAAAACAAAACAAAAACTATTGGTAGGCTCATTGCCTTGATTTTGACTATGGACTACTAAGCATAAATGTTAATGGCCAAGTATTGGTTAGTACAACTGAATCCCAGTAGTTTTCATGGTTCAAACAACTATTAAGAGGAACCCGACTCAATTTATCTATTGGAACATAAACATATTTCTTAGGGTTAAAAATACAAACATTTTTCACGCTTTCAAAATATGCACAACAACTATTATTTGAGACAAAACCTAGCAATCCGATCTGTCTATTGTCAACTGTCGTGTTTTTCTGAGGAGCTAATCACTCTATGCGGTAGACACAGAACAGACAAAAGTGGAATAAATTCATGATCTGGGGCAGCAGTATAACTGGGACGCATTAATCTTACAAGGAAAAGAAACTACATGACAATAATCTACAAAGAAGAACAAGGTGCATAATATTTCCCAGAGTCTGATGAAATACTTTTTTACTTTTCCACTTTTTCCATTGACTGTTTTAAAATATATGCTTGTTCCTAAGGACAAAAAGGAAGACTTGCTTAGGGAGTAAATCCTGAAAGATGCCAGAGCTACAAATATTTACACAGAAGTCTCTCATCTTCCAGCAACTGTTACTAAAGTTCCTACATTTGTATTTATAAAACAAAGCAAAACAAAACAGAAAACAAGACTGGAACCACGCTCCACCTACTTTATTGAATTGGGATTTACACACCTACCCAACGTGCTCGCACTCTTACCTTCAACTCTCCAGAGAAACATATGTACATACATGCAAACACACACGATGTATCAATCACTGTACGCACAGGTTCATCCACACCATGACACAGGACACAAGCCACAATACGACAGTCAGAACACATAACTACGACAGTTTGAAATGGGTATCCTTTAAAGCCCGCCTGGACCCTTAATGCCCTGATTCTTACACATTTCTTCTTCATTCGGGAACTTTAAAGGATCAGAAAGACAAAATAGGTTGCATTAAAGGAAGAGAAAGAAAACAGCATGTTCGCCTTTTGGGAGGCACTGCAAAATCAGCCACGCGACCCGGCTGCGCGTAAGTGCAGCATTAAAGAATGCCAGCCGGGACCCTAGAGACCCAAGTTAAGCACCTTGCAAGCGAGAAAAGTAAAGTAAATAAGTAATAGTGGTCATTGTCATTAAGAAGAAAAACAGTAATAACGATTGTCACCACGGGGTTCCGTACAGCAGGTGCACGTGCAGCGGGCTTCTCCTGCAGCCCCACGCGGCGGCTGAGAAAGGCCAGTGGGCTCGGCGCGCGCCGCCCGCTGGGACTGGACCTGCTGCGCGGGCTCCGCGGGCGCGCGCCCCGCCCGGCCCCGCCCTCCCCTCCCGCGCCTGCGCATCCCGCGGGCGGGACGGGTGTGTTGGCTTCGGGTTGCTAGGGCCTGTCTGCGTGGCTTCAGGCCGCACCTGGCCAGAGGGTGAGGGCGGCCTGAGTGTTTCCTTTCCGGATAGCATCCCGCGGGAAGACCCGCGACTTCCCTTCAGCTTCACCTTGCTGCCTATATTCCCAGGAAAAATAAATACAAGAGGAAAAGCCGATTGTTTTGAGAAGCAGCTGATTGCCCTATAGGATAGCATAGGAGTCCAACGTTTCCAAGCACCTCTTCCCATAATACGAAAGGAAAATGACCGGCATCAAGTGCGAAGCACGCCTTGAACGCTTGTGTGCAGTTATCTTTGGGGGATAAAACGGCCCATTGGTACAGCTCCAGAACGTAGCCTTCTACACTGTCAACGGAATAGTGATGTGCCCAGCACTTTGAGAATTAAGAGCATATTTCTGGTTCTATCTTCTGGCATCATTTCTAAACAGCATTAACTGGCACTGCGATCCTGTGAAATCTCATTAGATTGAAGACCATTTTATTTTTGGATTAAATAGTTATGGCCCAACTATAGTGGTTGAAATTTAAAATAAGTAATTATGACAGAAAGAAAACGACTTATTTGTGAATAGTTAGATATTGTGGTTCTTCAGAGGCCATGGAGGGACTTCCTCATCTTTTTGATCAAAAATTCTTTCCAAATTTGTAATTTGGAAAATGTCAATTTCCAATTTTTCTTTAGAGAAAAAAATGATTGTCATTTCTATTTTGGGGGAAATCAGTATTTACTAGCTGAAATTACACTGACAGACTGAACTTTTTGCTAACATGTGAAATTTTAGGATGATCTTGATATATGTATGTATTTTTAAATTGTGTATTAGTTATAAACCTGAATTTTATCCAGATTCTTTCTAGAAGTTTTAAGAAATTTCATTATCCTCTTTTTCTTTTATAGGAATTCTGCTTGGACTCAGTATTAGGGCAGAATGATTTTCATTAGGACATAGTCTGGATCCTAATGAATTATTTTTCAGCAACAATTCAAACATTCAAAGACTTTCCAATTCTCAATCAACAGCTGTGAAAAAGTGCTTATTATTAAAATGCAAAGCCACCCACAACTTCTTCGAAGACCTTTACCTCCCAGTCTCCCTAAGCTGTCTTTATGTAAGAAGAAACCCCACGCAGGTATGTATATTAATCAGATATGTTATTAACTTTATTTTCATAGAAGTTTCTCAACCTGCACAGCTCAGAATCATAATAAAGACACTGGCTAATAACCAGCAACTTACAAATGTTTGTTGTAAGATAATATCCAATTCATTTCTACAAGTACAGTTTATCCTCATTGTTTGTGGAATCTGTAGGAGTGAATTTACCCAACTGCTAGAATCTATTTGTAACCCCCAAATCAGTAGATTATAATATATTTTGTCTTTTTAAGTCAAAAATACATCACGGAGAACACTTCGGAGCATTATACAGAGCTCGAAAGAAGTGAGAAAATCACTCCTTTTATAATAGTGAAACTGTACAGGAAGAGGATGTCAATGGCAAATCTTGTTCATTCGTGGATGTGTGCAGGGCAGTGAGAACACACGCATTCCCAGCTGAGGTCAAAGAAGGCTACAGCTCTGCCTTCTTGTTTTAGCTCTCATATTGTAAACAACTGCCCCTTCCCCGGTCTAATCAGTGCCATGTTTCCTGAATTTTGTACTTTTGTTGGTGATTTCACTGTCTAAAATAGCCCCCAAGCACAGTACTGAAGTGCTGTCTAGTGTTCATTAGCACAAGCAGGCTGTGATGTTTCTTATGAAGAAAAATTCATGTGTTAGATAAATGCATGTGTTAGAAAAATGCATGTGTTTAGATAAGCTTCCTTCAGGCATGCGTTACAGTGTTGGCTGAGAGTTCAGTGTTAATGAATCAACAACACATATTAAATAAGGTATCTTTAAATAGAAACACATATAAAGCAAGGTTATGTATTGATTGGTTGCTGATAATGTTGAGACCAGAGGCTTGCAGGAACCTAACCCTGTATTTTTTCCAAGAAGCAATGGTTCACTGTTGGATAACTCATTGCTCACTGGGACTGTGGAACAGAGCTGCCGTGAATAAGCAAATAATGAGAATTGACTGTATTTATGAGCACATTGCTAAAACCTGGGGGTAGAGTAGTGAGCAGAACAGACACTGCCAGTCCTCTTTATTAGTTACCTTTTGGTGGGATCAAATAATCATATAACTGAATGTCAGATTACCCTGTGATAAGTGCTGTGAAGTAAAGATAAGCCAATTTTGTGATTATAACTTTATATAATACTCTTAATCCTCTATCTCTATATATGGTTATCTATTGACTCCTAACTTATAAACAGTGATAAAATTAACATATTTCCTCTTCTTTTCCCTTTCAGTCTCCTCTACCATCTGATTTTAGTTGATTATATTAATTATTTTAGTGTCAACATTCATACTGTTTAAATATGCCTCATCTATAACTTGATTTACAAGGTTAAATTATTACCTTTTGATCCATTGCTATTCAAGATGTGTGAATCACCCTACTTATGCTACCTCCACTTTCTCTCCCACCTCCCTACCAACTTTTGTTATAGCATTTCTACATTTCTGTAATGTTCCACATTTCCACTGTGTTCTGTAATAGTAATAGCCACAGTTCTATAGATATACTGCTCACTACCAGTTCTTTTGTCATAGTGTTTACATTCATCTTTTGGTTGAAGTTTATCCTCTAGTACAGAGTTTCTCATTATTGCCATTTTGGGCTGGATAATTCTTTGTGGGGGGGAACTCTCCTACTTTTGGTACCTTTGAGATTCTATGACTTAACTCTTGTTAATCCTGTTTCTCCATGGAGGGTGGGAAGGGATAGACTGGGATTTCAAAACTGTAGAATAGATAAATAAGATTACACTGTATAGCACAGGGAAATACACACAAAATGTTATAACTCACAGAGAAAAAAATGTGACAATGAGTGTGTATATGTCCATGAATGACTGAAAAATTGTGCTGAACACTGGAATTTGACACAACATTGTAAAATGATTATAAATCAATAAAAAAAAATTCTGTGTCTCCAAAGGCTCTTGGCAGAGTGTTCTGCTTATAGCAGATGTTCAAAATATTTGTTGAGTGAATGAACTAACACTTAAAATGACTGAAGTACAATTTATAAAAATGAATATTCAAACACTGAAATCACACCTTGAAATAAATATCTATAATTCACATGTAATGCTAAATGCTATAGTGAATTAATGACATGACCGATCTGGTCCCAGCCTGTCAGGACCTTTCAAGACCTTTAATGAAGCTCTAAAGATGAGATACACATACAGTAAAAACCTTAAATAACAGTACAAAGCAGCACAGAAATTATGTACAATTAATAGTACAGACAGGAGTAGTTCATAAATGTGAGGAACTCTGGGGGCAGGAATGGGGTGTAAACTAAGACTTGAGGAAAAGTGAAATGTAAGATGTTTAATTATAGAGGAGACGTATGTAGTTTTTGATGGTAGAGGAGACTATTGGAAACAGAATTTTAACACACTAGAAAAAAAAAGAAAAATCATGGGGAAATGTTTACAACGTAGGGGAAGTATGAATGGAGAAGACAGAAGTCATCTTCATTGGGAAGGTTTCCCTAAGCACCTCTTCTCCCTCCACCCAGTCAGAGGCACTCCTTTATGCTCCCATGGTACCCCACACTCACCTGCTACTGAGCATGTATCGTTCTCTGGTATAACTGTTTACCTGCCTAGTTTCTGCACTACATTGTGAGATCTTTGATGGTAATAAGGTTTGTGCTGTGTGATTGTACTCTCAGCTAGCACATGGTAGGTGTTAAATGCTTGTTGAATTAATTAATGAGAACAGTAAGTTGGTTTCTCTGAAGAAAGATAAATATTGCGTCAGGTTTAAGATACGTAAATTGAGAAAGAGAGGAGCATTTGCCAAGACAGGAAAGATACATTGCCTGAGTGGTGGGAATGGAGAAATGACAGAGTGTTTTCATTGGAGCCAAGGGAAGAGTGAATTTTCATGGAGAACAGAGTGGGTTAAAATATCAAATGCTAAAAAGAGGTCAAATAAAGATAAATAATGATGTATATCCATTGGATTTAGTAATAAGATGTCAATAATAACTTTGTGATAGGTTTTGATAGTAGTAGAAGTGGCAAATTCCAGGTCATAATGTTCTGAAAAGTAAACGAGAGAATTCCAGTTTCAGTTTCAAAACTAAGGAGATTAAAAGTAATCACTCCCATCCTCACAAGAAAAAAATGAACAAACTGATCATCAGTGAGTTTCTTAGACCCATCAGAGAATCAGGTCACAGAGCAAATCACCATCCTGAAATCTGGAGAGACACACAAATAGAGAGACTCACAGCGATCAGCTTATTAGGATCAGAAGATGTTCAAGCCAGTAACTGGTAGGAACACGTGAGTGCTAATTTTGACAAATTACTGGAGGCTGAGTGTGGACTAGTTTTGAGAGTTAAAAACTCCTGAGATCCTAGTCTTTGGCTGGGGCCTCTATGCTGCCACGGGTTTTACCTCAAAGAATCCCACAAGGTTCTCATGAGGATCAGAGAAAAAAATTGTCCAGGAAGGACAAAGTAACCTTTTTTTTTTTTTTAACACTCCCAGAGTATTCTCCATTACAAATACCTGCCCTGTAAGGGAAACTAGGTTCCAGAGCCTTGCCTGACCTGAGGGAAGGGCAAATCAGATAACGCTAGCCCCCAGGAGCCTGACTTCTGTAAGGGGAGGAAAAGACTAAGAAACACTTCTGAAAGCCACAGCCCGGGGACTTCGGGACACTAAAAAACTCAGATTTAAACATAAGAATATAGAATGATTCCTTTCTACAGTACCCTTCCACCATGTTAGCAGGGCTCCAATGTAGTAACAGTGGATTTCACCTGAGAGAGCTGTAAGATGCAGAATTTAAGAAGGAATTTGTAAGGAAGCCCAAAGGCAACAAAGGAGGAAAAAAACAAAACAAAACAAGGAAACTCAAGTCTCTGACACCACAGCCACAGTTATCTCAGTTCCTATTACCTGGCACATCATTCCCAGCTTTCAATTAAAAAAAATTTACAAAGCGCTTAAAGGCTAGGAGAAACAGGGTTGAAGAGAAAAAGCAAGCACCAGAACCATACTGAGATACGACACAGATACTGGCATTATCAGACAGGCAATTGAAAATATCTGTGATTGTTATATTAAGAGTCTTGATTGAAACAGTGGATAATGTGCAATAACAGGTGAGTAGTGTACACAGAGATATGGGAACTGTAAGGAAAAATCAAAAGGAAATGCCAGAAATTAAAAAAAACACTAATAAAAATGTAAAATGCCTTTGATGGGCTCATCAGTAGCCAGGATATGACTGAGGAAAGGGTCTGTGAGCTTGAAGATAGGTCTACTGAAAATTCTCAAACTAAAGTGCAAAGAATAAAAAGAGTAGTAACAAAAGAACGGGATACCCAAGGCCTGTGGGAAAATTACAGATGGTGTAACATACATGCAAGGGGGAATACTAGAGGGGATGAAAGGGTGAAGACAGCCGAAGGACTACTCAAAGTAATAATGGCTGAGAATTTTCTAAAATTAACGACAGATCAAAAAAAAAAAAAAAACAAAACCACAGATCATCCAGGGAGCTTAGGCAACACCTACTAGAATAAATTAAAAAAAACACACACACACACACACTTTGGTGCATTATATTCAAACTGCAGAAAACTAAAACCTTCGTTTTTAAACAAAGAGAAATTCCTGAAAGAAGCCAAAGGAAAGGGAGAAAAAGTATCTACCTGTAGTGGAAAAAAGATAAGAATTACATTGCATTTCTTATCAGAAACCATGCAAAGCAAGAAAAGAGTAGAGTGAAATATTTCAAGTGTTGAAAGGGAAAAAAAATAAAGCTCACTAAACTAGATTTTGTATGCAGTGAAACGGGCCAGAAACTCAGATCTACTTAGAAGAGTGTCAGAGAAGGAATAAGTGATCCTGTTTGGTCTAACGGAGAACTGTTTGTTCTAAGCAATAATAGCAACGATGTAGCAGGTGATTATAGCACAGGGACAAATGGAATGAATGACAGTGATGCTCTGTGCAGTGGGAGGGAAGAATGGGGAATACTCTGTTAAAAGATGCTTGCCATACCTAGTAAGTGGTGGAGTGTTAACTGAAAGTAGACTTAGATTCGCTGTAAATATAGATTACAAACTCTAGGGCAATCACTTTTAAAACATTTTTACAAGTCTACCTGGTATGCTAAGAGAGGAACGAAACTGAGAAACTGAAGGAGAGAAACTGAATCATAAAATTCTCAGTTAAAACCAGAAAAGACAGAAAAAGAAGGGAAGGTTTTGAAAAAGAAGCAAAACAACTGCAATGAATAGAAAAGTTTCCAAATGTGGCAGATGTTAAGCCAACAAATGTCAGTAATTCATTAAAATGTGAATGGTCTAAGTGTACCAGTTAAATGACAGAAACTGTCAGAGTAGATAAAACACAAGCGCTAACCATATATTGTCTGCAAGAAACTTGCTTTAAATATAAAAACACAGAGAGACTGAATGTAAAAGGATAGAGAAGTATACCATACTAACACTAATCAAAAGGAAGCTGGAGGAGCTGTGTTAACTGGGCTGTTTTCTTATTGTTGAGTTTAAGAGCTCTTTATTTTGGATGCAAGTCCTTTATCAGATGTGTGTTTTGCAAATATTTTCTCCCAGTGTATGGCTTGTCTTTTTATTCTTTTAACAATGTCTTTCATAGAATACAAGTTTTAAATTTTAAGTCCAGCTGAACCAATTTTTTCTTTCACGGATTGTTGTTTTGGTGTTAAACCCAGCATCACCTAGATTTTGCTCATGTTATCTTTTTTTTTTTTAATATAGGAGAGAGAGAAAATAAAATTGAAGATAGTAGTAGTAACCCTTTTATTGAATGAGCTGGCTTTGATTAGTTCCTTATAAGGAAGGAAGCATTAAACTCACGTGGCACACACAGCTCTCCCAAGGCTCTTCCAGTCACGCTCATCTATTAGCCTTGTCTCCTTTTTAGATATTAAACAGCTACTCCAACCTAAATCAGTGCTTTCATCTCGCATGCAATTAAACCTTGCCCTTTCTCTCAGCTCAGGCGAGGTCTGCTCGTTTTTAGACAAGCCAAGGGAAACAGGGGCCTGATAAGTTCTCCCTCCTTGTCCTTTTACTTCTCTTCCGTAAGTCAGAGTTTCTGGTATCTTCGTAGGTGGGGCTCGGAGTGGGGAAGAGTTAAGGAGTTCAGAGTGAAGGTGAGAGTCGGTCATCAGCTTCTACACCCCGCTGAAATGCCGCAGATAGAGGTCCAGTAGTTGTAAGGATGCTCTCGCCTCGCCGCAGCTGTGCCACAGCACTGGGGGGGGGGTGGGGGGGCATCCATTTTTGCTGTCATATAGGTTTATGGAGGGGAGGGGAATGCCGGTGGGAACAGTGAGATGTTCTCTTCTCCTTGTGGCTACACTCCTGTTCTCTAGAGATGGGTCTCTAAGAGTGGGCCTCTCACTTGGCTTGAGGTGGGGGTCAACCCTCCTCCTGCACCCACTGTGAGGAGGGGAGGGTCAGGGGAACACACAGCACTGCAATGGCTGGATTCTCTCTCAGTGCAGGTCGGCCTCTAGCCACCTCTCCTATACAGACAACGCGTGAGAGTTGAATTTGCTTTGACCATCTCTTTGCAAGTCTTGCCTTGATGCATCCATTATTTCCTCACTAGACTGTTGACGTCCTCACCGTTCATTGTACCCAACGGAGACAACACACGGAAATGCCACAGAACACTCTGAGACGCAGGAAAGAGAAGGCATCCCTTGCTGTAGTGCCGCTCCCCACGCCCCCCAACTCCCCCGCAGACTTCCTGCGCTCACAGGCTGCTGCTGAACAGAACTGCTGGGGCAGTTTTATCTTTTCTAGGCTTCTCTTTTTAGCAGGCTCTTGGCGTTTCCACCCTGTGTGGGCACATTTTTTTTTTTAAAAGGCACGTTTGTATAAATAGCCAAATGGCAGCCAGCACACTGTGAATATTAGACTGCTGGGTTCAGAGTCGTAGTTGAGCATCCTTCATCCAGAGCAGCTGAGTGAAATGTGCTTCTATAGCCATAACCAGTGTTTCTTTACATAAACGTGACACTTGTTCTCATGAAAAAGACTTCTTTACAACAATAATAAATGTTTAAGAAAAAAAATAATGCAGACACAGTGCATTTTCTGGACCTAAGAGAGAAAGGAACACTTACTATTGTAACATGAATGAACCTGTGGTTCCTTGTAGCCCGTATCAGAATGTTATCATGTTCAAAAGACACCTGGGTCTGATATCTAGCATTGAAAAGAAACGTAAATCTTTGCTCAAAGAAGTTTCAAATGAGGAAGAGATAATGGTAAATGATAAATAGGCAAAACTTCATCGAGTCATTTTTGCCCTTCCACATGGCGAGAGTATTAGTGGCAACCGCTCAAAAGTCTCCCTTTATGTACTGCTCTTCACCAATTCCGTTCTTGCAACCCAATTTAGCCTTTTCAGTCCTCCAGCTGATCGCTCAAACTTTATCCCAGTCGGCTCAACAAACGTCCTGATAGCTGAGAAAGTATACACAGAAACATTTTTAGAACCGGAGAGAGGATGGGTGGATAAAGGAAAGCTATGAATGCTAAGACATTAATGGTTTTGCTCCTGACACCTTGATAAGTATAATCTAATTGTGCTTTATTTTTTCTTTTTCTGGTTTAGTCAAAGCTGCTGAAACAAAGCCACCACGTGCACGGTTTGTTCAAGATAAAACCATTTTAACTGAAAGAGAGAAAACTCGTTTTCCTGATGTTGTTTCAGGAAATCAATCACAACCCCCTGTCAATATCCAAAATCTCCATCTTGATCATCATGTACGAGAAAGAGTGACTACTCTTTCAACACTCAAGAAAACTTCTAAGAACGTCTATTGGCACATTCCAGAGACTGCTACTGGTTCCATATTTTTCCCAATGTGTCCTTCAGCTTCAAGTCGAGTTTTTGGGAAACAAATAAGCAAGATAGAAAGTTCAAGAAAACCAGAAGAGCCATCAAAAATAAAAAATACTTACGCCGATAATATTTTTAAAGACATTATGATTGTCTCCTCAGAGTTCCCCAGACGTCCCAGTGCCCCTTCTTCAACGCCTACTCCCAAACTCAAGGAAGTTCACGCTGAGCATCTACTTTTGTGCAAGAGCACTACCTACAGTTTTAAGCAGCCCCTGTTGCGTCTAAGTGCGGCAATCCCTGTCCCAAGGACTACACCTGTTAAAGCAGAAAGACAGTGGTTTCACTGTTTACAACAAAAGCAGGCAGCAACACTAACTATTAGTGATTTTCCAGGTCCCGTTTTCATACCGTTACCAATTTTACCCAGGAAACCTCTAAGACAGTCTGTGATAGGTAAGTCCAGTCTCAACATGGTCGGTAATGATGAGGTCAAGTAGAGCGAAGGGGAGAGAGGGCGTGCAAGCATATGGTGGCTCCCCCGTTGGGTTTGCAGGATGGCCTGCTGGGATCACTTTTTGCCTGTACATTTACTACGTGGGACAGAATGCAGTAACAGAAATCCTGACCTTGCAGGTCTGCTAGGGACAGACTGGGCACCTCACCCAGACTGGGCATCACCAGATGGTGGTGATGGGAACCAGACAAAGTAGTTCAAAGGATCAGAAAAGCTAATACAAAGGAGCAGTAAGAATGAACAGTCATTCATAAGGTGGTCCACATGAACTCTAGATGGAGAATGCCGAGGCTGATGGGCGCCTTCATGAGCACATTTCCATGGATAATCTCAATTCACTAAAAGATGAACAATTATAATGAACTCATAGCACCTTCAATATGAATTTTCACATGTATCTAAACATCCCGTTTTTAGACTCACAGACGTAGAAAACAAACTTATGGTTGCCAAAGGGGAAAGGGGGTGGGGAGGGATAAATTAGGAGTTTGGGATTAACATATATAAAATAGATAACCAACAAGGGCCTACTATATAGCACAGGGACTCTATCCCATATCTTGTGATAACCTATAATGGAACAGAATCTGAAAAAGAATAGATTTACATATATATATATATATATATGTACAGCAAAGTGATTCAGTCACACACACATATATATATATATATACGTATGTGTGACTGAATCACTTTGCTGTACACCTGAAACTAACACAACATTGTTAATCAATCATACTTCAATTAAAAAAAAATCCTATTTTAAATTTTTTTCTAGAAACTTGTGTAACACAACATGAACGTAAGGAAAGTATCCCAAAGCAAAGCATGCTAAGCCTACCTGAAGGTAAGCGCTAGGTTTATATCATTCTTTTAAAAACTGTATGTATGATTATCTCTCCACAAAAGTACTTATGATTTTGTATCTTTGTATATGTGTGTGTGAGATTCACATTTACGGCCCTCCTCATTTTCAGTTCCTTAAGCTGTTTACTCAGCAACAATTTTTTAAGTGTTGACTCTAAACCCAACTTTGTACTGATGCTGGGAACATAAAAGCTCAAGTCTTATTCGGGTGGGGAAGATAGACATGCAATAATGAGGGTTAACTGCATGTCATGTGACCTAGCAGAAACAAATGAAAAATCAGCTTTAAAGAAAGATTACATCATCCTAGACCTCACATTATTTCTATAAACAATTTCACAAATACAGTGTGTAGTAAACAATTCACCGTTATCAGACACACAAAGAAACAAAATAAATGAAAACTAGCAGAAATGGTAAGCAATAGAAACATACCCACAGGAGTTCCAGGTATTAGAATGATCAGATACAGATTTTTAAATAACTACTGACTTTTTTTTTTTAAATAGAGGTACTAGGGGTTGAACCTGGGACCTCCTGCATGCTAAGCACCCACTCTACTACCGAGCCACACCCTCCTCACCCCCGCTGACTTTTGATTCTGTCCAAGACTGAGTATCTTGTATTAGACAAACCCTCCCACTGAAATCAAGTATTAAAGCTGCGCCAAATACAGAAAATAGCCATTGAAGGTACTGGAGAGTAACCACTGCAAGCATGACTCGAGTGGCTGCAATCCTTGAAAGAAGCTGAATTAGCTGTACATTGATCTTGGCTTTTGCCTGAGGGCACTTGTGGCGCTGGAGAATAGAGCACAGATGGAAAGCAACAGTATGACTGGGTTAAGGAGGCAGCGGTCAGACTTCAGTGCTGATAATACTGCTAGGATTTGAGGGGTAGTATCTCCGAGAGGAGAGAACTGAATTCATATATCCACATAAAGACTCCCCGACGGGTGCTGGCTGATTCCTAAGCTGTGCATGTGTAGGACAGTACTCTAAGAAACACGGCAGGAAACATCTGCTGAGATGCTAAGGAACCGAGCATCGATTTTGACAGTCGCACAGGAGACAGTTACTGGACTTCAAGTTTTGCCAAAGTGAAAGGTCTTGATACAGACACTGGACCTTCAGCTGAAGACCCGGAGGACCCATGCCTTGAGAATAAGGATGATGTTCTAGGAGAAGGGAGAAAACTAAAAGAGATTACCCCTAACAAAGCTCCAAACCAACCCTTGTTAAATCAAAGTGATACTTACTGCCTACTTGAAGGAAATTTAACACGTTATTAGAGACAGTATTATGGAGATCTTTCAAAATTATTGACATTATAAAAGATCTTGTGGCAAGTCATGCAGCAAGAATGGCTGGGGATGTAAAATATAATTCAAAATATTTTCCTGCCACACCTGGGTGTATACTTGAATAGACCTTTTTTTTTTTTGGACCAGGCCATTTTTGATGAAAGGTAAAACTGAAAAGGGTCATAATAAAGTAAACGTAGGTGGTCTCTGTTTGGCTACTCTTGAGTCGTTTGGATTTTTTTCCTTTCTTGTGTGAGATCTTTAAACTGAGGGAGGAACTGAATTACATAAGGTATTTAAATCATGCATCAAGGTGATATTAAGGAAGAAAGCAAAGTTGCTCCTTGGGAGGTGATCTATATCTGAGTTAATGCTTACAGGATGTCCTTTATTAGTTCTGCAAAGCAAGAAGTTGTTTCTGTAATTCACAATAAAATTTAAAAAGATATTTTTACATATAGTACAAAAAGACGGAGATTGGTGGAACCCAAGTTATCCAGGTAGAAATCTACCAGCTTATTGTTTTCTTTCTGAAAGACAACTGTGCTAGATAATATTAAAAAAAAAAAAAAGGTTGGCAAAGAACCAACTGAGATTGGGTGGGTGAAGTTTACGGGGACTCTCTCTCAAAGGATGTGTTCAGGTAACTTATTTATGAAGACTCAGTGTTAACATAAATAACTTTTAACTTTCACTCTAAGTGATGACACATTGAAGTCTCCTGTTTTGTTTATTTAGGTGTCAAGTCAAAAAAAATAGAAACATCAGTGACACATACTATACAAGGTGAAGGCTTTAAGACTGTTGTGGCAACACGATATGAAACGATAACAGCCATGACCAACCTGGCCACAGTAAACTGTCAGATATATGGGAGAAATGCGCTTAACCTTAAGGTACGCTACATCTTTTTAATGGCAGCTTCCTGTTGTATTATCAGTTATTTTTGCCTTCAGTTTCCTAACTTGGGTTAGTTTCCACAGGATTGCAGGAGTGACATCAAGAGGTAATGGCTGGGGAGATGGAGTTGTATTGTAACAAAAGTTGTGTGTGCTAATGAAGTTAACCTGGTATCAACCCAAACTAGATGGTTTTAAATTTAGGATGCCAATTGGAATCTTCATGGTAACCACTCCTAAGAAACTGTCTTAAAAATATACACAAAAGGGAGTGAGAAAGGAATCAATATGACATTACAGAAAATTAATTAAACACCAAGGAGGCAGTAGTGGAGTAAACAACGAATAACAACAACAACAACAAAAAACCATTCTGGAAAAGGCAAAATTATGGTGACAGTAAATATATCAGTGGTTTCAACAGATTTGGGGGGAAAGGAGGGAAGGATGAATAGGGGGAGCACAGGGGATCTTTAAGGCAGTGAAATTATTCTGCACGATACTGTCATAATGGATACATTTCATTATACACTTGTCAAAACCCACAGAATATACAACACAAAGTCTGAACTCAATATAAATTATGGATTTAGGTTAATAATGATGTGCTGATGTTAGTCCATGGATGATAATAAGTATACTGGTGGGTGAGATGATGTTGAGAGATGCTGAGGGAATGTGTGGGGAAGGGACATGTGAAGAAGAAAGATCTCAAATCAATAATGTAACTTTACAACTTAAGGAACTTGAATAAAAGAACAAACTACACCCAAAATCAGCAGAAAGAAGGAAATAATAAAGATTAGAACAGAGATACATGAAATAGAGGATAGAAAAGCAATAGGGAGGATCAATGAAAACAAGTTAATTCTTTGAAAAGGTCAACACAATTGACCTTTGTCTAGACTAAGAAAAAAGAGAGAAGGTACAATAAAATCAGAAATGAAAATGGAAACATTACTTTTGGCTTCACAGAATTAAAGGGGATTATAAGAGAATACTATGAACAATTGTATGCCTGCAAATTAAATATCCTAGATGAAATGAAATGTTTTCTAGAAAAAACATAAATTACCAAAACTGACTCAACAACAAATAGAAATTTGAGCAGACTTGTAAAAAGTAAATAATGAAAACCTCCCAACAAAGAAAAGTCCAGGACCAGAGGGCTTCATGGGTAAATTTCACTAAACGTTTAAAGAAAAATGAACACCTATACTCAAAATCTTCCAGAAAATAAAAGAGGAAGGAACATCTCTAATAGTATCCCAAACCCAACTCCACTGTTGGCAGGGTGGGAATCCCACACTACCAAACAATTCTTGGACACCAACTGGGTGTCCTACAATTCAACTCAATTCTGACAATGTCTACCCAGAGATAACATTAGATTCCACAGGTAAAGTGCTCACTCCTATAAGACTGCCCTCCACTCCAGATGCCAATCACAAGCCCAGGTTGTTACCAGTGATTCTGACCAATCAGCTACAGATTGGAGGTTCCAACCATCCACTCCAATTCAGGATGCCAATCGCGAGTCCAGGTTGTTACCTATACTTCTGACCAACTGGCTATAATACAGAAATTCCCATGACCCCTTCCTTGGGTTTGATTAATTTATTAGAGTGACTCACAGAACTCAGGAAACCTACTTACTTACTTGACTACTAGTTTATTACAAAGGATATTAAAGGATATGAACCAAAAGCCAGATAGATGAAGAAATACCTAGGGCACAGTATGAGAAGGTGTGGATATTCCACGCCCTCTCCAGGTGCTACTCTCCCCAAATTCCCACATGTTCACCAACCTTCAAGCTCTCCAAACCCTGTCCTTCTGGTTTTTATGGAGGCTTCATTAATAGGTATACCTGATTAAATCATTGGTCATTGGTGATTGAACTCAGTCTTCAACCCCTTCCCTTCTTTAGAGGTGGAAGAATCGAAAGTTCCAGGCTTCTAATCACACAGCTAGGTTCTTCTGTCACCCAGCGCCCATTCTTAGGAGCTTGTCAAAAGTCACTTCTTTAGCATAAACCCAGCTGTGGTGGAGAGGGGCTTATTATGAACAACAAGACACCTATTTCACTTCTGGAACTGAAGACAGGAGCCCAAGTATTACAATAAAACATGCTCCCACTGCTTTTATTGTTCAGGAAATTCCAAGGGTTTTGGGAGCTGGTAGCCAAGAACTATGGATGAAATCCAAATATATAAGAGAAATATACATTGGTCATTCAGATGACCAAATATATTTGCTTATAAATTAAAATAGCACAACTTATAATACGTTTTGTGCTTTCAGTGTAACCCAGATACCCAAAGAAGATGAAGACATCACAAGAAAACTACAGATCAATATCCCTTAATTAATTAATAAAATTACTAAATTCATTGGATAATTGACTAAGAAAAAAAGAAACTCTGAATGCCAAATTCAAAATTTAAAAAGAGGAAATCACCACATTTCCTATCGACATTAAAACAGCAAACAATGAAATAATAAGAACAGTATTTTCCCAATAAATGCAGTGACTTCGGTGAAATGGAAAAAATTTTTTTTGAAATACACAACTTGCTGAAACAGGCACAAGAACTAGAACATCAGAATAGTCTTGCACCTGTGAAAAACCTAATTTGATATTTTAATTAAATTGTGAGAATTTAATTTCTTCACACAAAGAAAGCTCCTGGCACATAGGAATTCACTGGTGATTCTATCAAACACTGAAGGAAGAAATAATACCAGTTTACACTAACTGCTTCAGAAAGTAGAGAAGGAACAACACCTGCTAACTCATTTTATGATGCCTGTATAACTCTCATACTAAAGCCAGACAAGGATATTACAGGAAAGGAAAATAATAGACCATTATTGTTCATAAATATAAGTGTAAAAAACCTCAATGAAATATTAGGAAATCAAATCCAGCAATATCAAAAATTAAAAATAAAGAACAATGTATCATGACCAAATGAAGCTTTCCCAAGAAGTTCAAAGTTGTTTTAATATTTAAAAATCAATGTTTATCCTCAACAATATCATCTCAATAGATATAAAACTTAAAAAATTTAATACCCATTTAAGATTTTAAAAACAAACAAATGTCTAAGTAAACTAGGGTTAAAAGAAACCTTTCATAATCAAATAAAGAAGTCTAGGAAAATCTGAAACCAACATCATATATAATCAATAAAGATTGAATACTTTCTCCCTAAGATTGAGAACAAGGTAAGAAAAATTTGTCATTCACTTTTATTCTACATTGTAATGAGGGTTCTAGCCACTTAAATAAGGAAAGGAAGAAAAAGGCATAAAGATTAAAAAGAAGTAAAATCATATTCATGAGCAGAAAACATGACTATATAGGTAGAAAAGCTTAAAAAATCCCCCCCCCCAAATCACACTAACAATTTTAGCATGGTTGCTGGAAACAGTATTTTAAAAATTGACACAGGAGTGTCACCAGGGGACAAAGTCATAGAAGACATCTAGAATTCTGCCTTTCACATAAATTAACAAACAAATAAACAAACAAGGGAGAAGGCTTCAATAGTCCTTCACAAAGGATGGTCTACTAACGGCCAGTAAGAACATGAAAACATTCTCAACATCATTGTTCATCACGGATGACAAAACCACAGCACACTCATTGGAACGACTAAAATTAAAAACACTGACAACATTCCCTTACTTGTCTTTACAAAGAACCAATTTTTTGATTTGCCAATTCTTTCCATTCTATGTTTTTATTTTATTCATTTTGTTATTGTTACCTTTCTACTTTTGGAGGCGTTCATAGCTGTTCTTTTTCTAACGTTTTTACATGCACGTGGACATCACTGATTTTCAGCCTTTTTCTTGTTTATGTATTTAAGGCTATACATTTTCCTATGATCATGATTTTAACTCTATCCCCCAAGCTTTTAAGTGTCATCTTTATAAAATATTTTAATTTTGAAATGATTTAAATTTACAGAAGAGTTGCAAGAAAAGTACAAAGAAAACCGGCAGATGCTCTTCCTCTACCTCTGAATACTTCAGTGCATTCTCCCCACAAGCAAGGACACTCCTGCAAAACCACAGAGCAGCCCTCAAAATCAGGAAATTAATTTTGATTCATAACTCCATCCAATCAACAGACCCCATTCACATTTTGCTGATTTACCCAGTAATGTTCATTGTAACAAAAGGATGCGATCCAGGGTCACGTGTTGTACACAGTTGTTTTAGTTTCTTTCAATTTGGTGTGTTTCCAGCTTTCTTTGATTTTCATGACTTTGAAACTTTTGAAGATTACAGGCCAGTTATTTTGTAAAATGTCCATTTGTGTGGGTTTATCTTATATTTTCTCATGATTAGATATAGGTCATTCACCTTTTGGTATTAATATTTCAAAAGATTTTTCTCACTTGATCTTACCAAGTGCGTGATTTCAGTTTATCACATTACTAATCGTGATCATTCTGATTACTTGTTTAAGGTGGTATCTTCAGGGCTTCTCCACTATTATTCTTTTCCCCTTTGTATTTAATAAGTGTATTGTGGTACTTTGAAACTATACAAATAATCTTATTTCTCATCAAATTTAATCTATTTATTTATTTACATCACTATTTTATTTGATACTTGAGCATAATCTTTTATAGCATTATTTATTTTTATTCTCAAGCTGCCCTACATTTTATTAGTAAAAGTCCATTCAAGTTGGTTTCTGTGTCCGTTTGACATACCCCATCATTCTTTCAGACTTATCCTCCTCTCTCTCTGCCCCCGCCCTGAAACCTGCTGTTTCTCCAAGGATCCCTGTTATTTTTAGTGGGTAAGCCAAGATCTGGGCTAGGTGTGCTTGCTGATATTAGGGTATTATCGACTCTTTCAGTGGGTAAGCACTGAAAGCACTTTCAGTGCACCAGCGCGCACACACTCTCACACACACACACACACACTGAAACCTGTGAATTCACATCAATATATCCAATTCTAATTTAATGCTACAAGGATTATTCCAATTTTCTCCCTTGTTAAATTTGTAACTACCTTCTCCAACAGTCGGAAATTTGGTCTCTATTAACCTTAATATGTTTACTTATTCAACCAATAACCATATATAACCAACTTTTTTTTTTTTTTTTTTTTTTGCTGTTCATCCCCTCACACATGTGTACTCGGCTCCTCCCCTTAGCTTGGGATCTGAGACCCTGTACTAGATTGACATTCTCCTCATGTTATTTGGTTTCTGTCACCCTACACTGGAGTGTTCTCTTGTGTGGATGTCTTCCTTGCCCACTCAGGCTATGAATGATTATGTTGAGCTGATCCTGCCCTGCCCACATAGATGTCCTTAGTTTTGGCTTATTTTAAGATTTCCTCTTTTCCTCTGAATTTAAGCAGTCTTACTATGATGTGCCTTAGGAGTAGTTTTTAAATTACTTATCTTCCTAAGGTTTATAGCACTTCTCGAATCTATGGCTTTATATCTCATTAGTTCTGGCAAGATGTTTGTCAGTATCTCTTCAGACATTGCCCTCCCCCTTCCTGCATGTTCTCTTCTTATCAGAATCCATCTACATGTATCTTAGAACTTTTCATGCTGTCCCATATATCTCTTACTCTCTTTCCCATATTTTCTATCCCTTTTACTCTCTCTGCTTTATTCTGAGTATTTTCTTCTCACCTATATTCTAGTTTAATCATTCTCTTTTCAGTTTTGTGAAATCTGCTGTTAAACCCTTTATCAAACCCTTAATTTAGGCTATTTTATAATCTAATTTTTTATTTAAATATTTTTATTCCTTAAACTTTTACTTTAAATTCTTTATCTTATAATTCAATTTATTGAGCCTATTAATCACAGTTAACTTTTTTTTAAAACACATCTGATGTATCCAAAATCTGGATTCTCCACGGGTCTATTTCCATAGTCCATCATTTCTCTTGATTTTTGTCCAATTATTATCTTTTTGCATGTCCTTTTATTTTTGATTGTATGATAGGTGTTTGTAGATATAATTTGAGACCCTAGATGATGTTATCATCTTCCAGAAAATCTTATTGTTGCTTCTGGCAGGCAAAGGGGACTTAATCCAATCAGAATAAGCAGGTTTAGTGCTGGGCTTCAATTTTTGTAGAGCTTTTCTTTTAACCTTTTCTCCTAAGGCTGCATCTCATACCAAGTCTGAAGCCCCTCCTCTTTGGTAAGCCCTGAATCCCAGTTTTTGTCTCCCTAACACTATGAGACTGGCTGTGGTCCTACACAGCCTCTCTGCCACAGCTGTGAATTAGGCAAGTGACGTCAGGAGAAAAATAGTGTTGAGTGTTGTGTTTGTCACCCTGAGAGTCCCATCTTTCTGGAATTTTGGCTTGTTAAGTCCTAGCTACCTGGGTAATTCCCCAAGCCTTTGTTGTGTTTGTTTCCTCTTTTGGTTTTAGTGGGAGGGTTGGTTTGAAACAAGGCTGTTGATAATTAGGAGAAGTGAGAAAATCAGATTATTTGGTTTTGAAGTGAATTACTTTAAATCAAATGTTGGCAAGGTTTTCTGTAAAGGGCTAGATAGTAAAATTTTAGGCTTTGAGGGCTACATGGTCTCTGTCACAACTACTCAACTCTGTTGTGTAGGGCAAAGGCAGCCACAGACAATACGTAAACTAATGGGCATGGCTGTGTCCCAATAAAACTTTATTTAGAGAAACAGGTGGCAGATTATAGTTCACTTATCTCTGCTTTAAGTGGAGGAAGAATATAGCTTTTAAAGAGTTGACTGGAGCTAATCAAGAGAAAAACTTATTTCCACAGCCATCAATATTATTTAAAAAACTATCTGACTCTAGAGTAGATTCCTGAGCACTGTGGGTGTGATGTAAAAGAATTAAAAGTCATCACTCTTTATCTTGTAGGCTTTTTAAATAAACAGATTTTATATGAATAAGAATTTACACAAAACAAACACACTGAGTAATATAATACAGACTCAGTGCATAAATGCTTAAAGGTTGCTAGAGCAATTCAAGGGACTGAGAAAGCCTCTGCACTCTTAGTGTTGTTTAGTTCTTCACATCCCTTTCACAACAACCGTAGCAAACAGATTTTATTATGGGATGGTGAAAGAGAGACCCAGGGTACCCATGCTGGGAAGCCTCATGGTGTATCCACAGGGAAGGTCCCTGGGATTCCATGACAATGTGAAGGTCCCAGACAGTCACTCAGCCAATATTCATTAATAACCTACTGTGTACCAGTGGTAAACTATGTATCTCTTTATGTACCAGAGCACAAAACAGAAAAAATACCTATTTCATGGAGCTTATACTTTAGTGGGATGTGATCTCAACACACATACACACAGATATTTCTACACAGTCTGTTCTGTGGTGATAGGGCTATGAAGATAAATAAAGCAAGTGGAGGGGACAGAGGGCTATTGATGGGGCACTGGTTTGAGAGGTTACTCTTTATGACAGGTTGTTCAGGGGAGGTTTCTCTATTTGGATGACTTAGGAGCAGACAGCTGCTTATTAGCAGGATGTGAATGAAGTGAGAAGATAATTCATGAAACAGATGGCGGAAGGCAGAAGAAAACATAAAAGCACTAGTTATCTAGTTATCTGAACACTCTAAGTGGACTGATTAGCAACTGTGACAGACACTTTCCTGCCACATAATTTACCACTAGTTATGCAGAGAAGAGAAAAATGTTTAATGACAGGAAGAAAGAATAGCTATGCTTGTCTACCACCAACATATAGACATTTACAAATATTAATACTTTTACAAGAGGTCAGTCTTGAAACCAGCACTGTCCAGTGTAAGATTCATCAGCCATGAACCTTCTCATTCGTATCCAGCACATGCCATAACCTAATGCACTGGTAGCAATGCCTCCCTTCACGACAAGTGGTGGTTTGATCCCCCAGCATTAAAGTGCCTTGGTTTATTCAGTTGAACACAACTGATTCCATGAGCCTTAAGAAACAAATGTGCCAACCTTCCTGGAGCATTAAAGATACTGGGGGTACCAGATATGTCTTAGTCAAATTTGGCTGCTAGGACAAAATACCACAGAGTGGCTTAAACAACAAACATTTATTTCTCACAGTTCTGGTGGCTGGGAAGTTTGAGACTAATGCATCAGTTTGGTTCCTTCTGAGAGCTCTTTTTCACAGCTGCCTTTTTGCTGTATCTTCACATGCAGAGAGAAAGAGATCTCTGGTCCACTCCTCTTTTTATAAGGGCACTAATTCCATCATGAGGGCTCCATCCTTAAGACATCATCTAACTCTATTACCTCCCAAAGACCTCACTTCTAAGTGCCATCACACTGGGGATTAGGGCTTCAACACATGAATTTTGGAAGAACAAACATTTAGTCCATAACAACACATACGCTTTCCTCAATCAGAAATTGGCAGATTTAAGCAAGGAATTTTGGACAGATGTGAGATTACTAGAAAGATAACAGAGAAGTAGAAGTAGAGACATGAAAAAAAAAACAGCATAAAGAGAATTAAATATAATATATTTTCAATTACTTATTTCAGCATGTAGTGGACACTCAATAAATGTTTGCCTGTTACTAATTGAAATAATGCCTGTCACACATATAATACTATATTTCTTACATATATAAATATTTTGTAGTTTTTCTATTTTGTTTCTTTACATATTTAAGAAATTATCATGAAAGACTAAAATAAATGAATAGAAGATTATTGAAGGCTTGTTAGAGTAATATCAAACATTGTCATTCAGATTATGTGCTCCTTTTTTTTCAATCTTGTATGAAATATTTTGTGCATTGTTAATAATTTCTAATCGCTTGTCATTTTCTTTTAGGGCTTTTTTCTACTGTATTGTCCAGATTTAACACCTTTGGCTTCCCAGTTGGTATATCTTAATTTATCATATAATAACATCTTTTACTTTCCCACAGAAGTGAGTCCATTTTTACTATTATATATTATAATAATTTCTTATTATTAATAATAATCATAATTTTTAAATAGACACAATACCCTGGAATTACTAGAAAGTAAATATATTTTGTATTGCATCCCAAAATGCAGAAGTACCAAAAGTACAGTACATTTTTCTTAGACGTCCCACGATACAATCTTCAAAGACTGTATTATGGTCAGGCTCTCAAATATGTTCTCCTAATTGTACAATGTATATAAGGTTATTTAGTTATTTTTATAATTCTGAATAAAACCTAAAATGTACTATATCCAAGTGTTAATCAGAAGCTTTAAAGGCAATGTTTAGTGACCAGGTAATATGACGTCATAACAAGTTTTCATTATCATAGGCTGAAATAGGATATTCTGCTTAATAAAACATATGAAGGATAATCAGATATGGGATGAGAAAATTCAATGTCATTTACATAAACAAGTCATTATGAGTCATTAGGACAGATTATGTTTTCAGTTTCTTTAGTCACTGTTTCATTGGTCACAGGGTATCTGGTTGTTTTGTGAACTGACTTCCAGAATATTGACTTTTAAAGAACTGACTTCTAGCAAGTTGACTTGCTTTCTATTTCAAATATAAAGTATTGAAAACATATATTTTCCATAGTTTCTCATAATATTGTGTTTTTATTTTCACTAGATGGTAGACTTTGGCAGAGGACAGAGTCTACTGAAAAAATTTAGGACAGGAAAACGTAGAAGCAGAAATGTAAACATAACAAAGTATATATTTATGTAGTTTGTTCTTCTATCTGAAGAGGTTCTTCTCTCAGATTCTTTAAAAGACGTGAAATCATATACAATAATAATTAATTATAATAATGTATTGTTAGCTCTGTAACATATGCATGTACTGTGTGTAACAATTATAGTACAAAAAAAGAAGAAGGAATAGACCTATTTAGGAACAACATTTCCATATGTCTGGAATTAAGTTAGTGTAAATCTTGAGCAGATTCTGATAAGTTAAGGTGTATTTTAAACCCTTTAAAGCAATCGCTAAGAAAATAACTCAAGAGAATATAGTGAAAAAACCCCACTAAAGTAATTAAAACATTAAACTAGAAAATATCCAGCTGGTGCAAAAGAAGGCAGTAAAGGAGGATCAAAAATGGCATGACATTTAGAGACTACAAGTAAAATGGCAATGTAAATCCAGCCATGTTAATAATAACATTACATATGAATACATAAAAAAATACAGTTTGTCGGATTGGGTTAAAAAACAAGCTCTGATATGCTGTGTAAAGGAGACATACTTAAGATTAAGAGATACAAAGAAGTTAAAAGTAAAGAATAGGAAAGGATATATCATGCAAATAGCAACCATAAGAAACCTGGAGTGACTACAATAGTATCAGGTAAAATTTTAAAACTAGTATCAGACAAAAACAAATTTTAAATTAAAAAATGTTACTAGAGATAAAGAAGGACATTTTGTCAATCTATCGGGAATCTGTAACAATTATAAACATTTATGTGCTTAACAATAGAACCCAGAATACATGAAGCAAAAACTGAAAGAACTGAAGGGAGGAATAGAAAATTTAACAATAATAGTTGGATACTTCAGTACCAACTTTCAATAATGCACAGACCAACTAGGCAGAAGATCAAGAGCGAAACAGAAGACTTGAACAACACTACAAGCCAGTAAGAACTAACAGACATTTATGGGACACTGCAACCAATAGTTAGCAGAATACACCATTCCCAAATTCACATTGAACATTTTCCAGGATAGACCATATGTTAGTCTACAAAAATAATCTTAATAAATTTAAAAGACTTGAAAATCACAGAAAGTATATTTTTGGGCTACAATGAAATGTAATTAGAAATTGATAACTGAAAAAATTTGTAAATATATGGAAATTAAGCAACATATTCTTAAATAACAAAGTCAGTGAAGAAATCAAAAGGGAAATTAGAAAATATTTTGAAATAAAAATGAAAATACAACATACCAAAATTTATGAGATGCATCTACATTAGTGCTCAGAGAGAAATTTATAGCTTTAAATTCCTATATTAAACAGGAAGAAATAAAAACCTAACTGTCCATCTTAAGTCACTAGGAAAAAAAAAGAGCAAACTAAATCCAAAGAAAGAATAAGGAAGAGGATAATAAAAATGAATGAAATAGGGAATAGAAAAACAATAGAGAAAAATCAAAATGTAAAGCTGTTAGTTTGAAAAGATCAACAAAATTGACTAACTTTATATATAACCAAGTAAAAAGGAAGACTCAAGTTACTAAAATTAGGAGTGAAGGATGGGACATCACTACCAACCTTATAGAAATACAAAAAATATTTTAAGATAATACTATCAATACCAACCAACCAGATAGCTTAGATGAAACAGATATATACCTAGGAAGACTCAAGAATAGACTCAGGAAAGAAATAGAAAATCTGAATGGTTCTATAATAAAGAAAGTGTTTTAATAGTAATTTGAAAACTTTCCACAAAGTAAAGTCCAGGATTAGATAGCTCCATTAGTGAATTCTACCAAACATCTTAAAAAGAATTAACATCAATCCTTTACAAAGTCTTACAAAAAATAGGAGAGAAGAGAAAACATTCTCATTCAAACTATTAAACCAGTGATACCCTAATACCAAAACTAGACAAAGATATGGAAAGAAAAGCAAACTACAGAACAATATCTCTTGTGAATACACAGTGCAAAAATCCTTAACAAAATGCTAATAAACCAAATTTAGCAACATATAAAGAGGATTTTACACCATGACCACAAAACATTCTGACAATAAGATTAATAAAGGAATTCTATATACATGGAAAAGAATAAAACATTTAGAAGTAAGTTTTACAAAAGCACCAAACTTATACTGTGAAAACTAGAGTATTTTTAAAAGAAATTAAAGGGGACATACTTAAATGGCAAGAGATCCCATGTTCATAGATCTGAAGACTTAATATTGTTAAGATGGCAATACTCACAATTAATCGATAGATTCATTGCTGTCTCTATGAAAATTACAACCTGCCTTTTAAAATGAATTTGGCAGGCTGACCCTGAAGTTCTTATGGAACTGCAAGGGATTCCAAATAGGCAAAACAATCTTCTTGAAAAGGAAAGACAAACTTGGAGTATATAAATTTTCTGATGGCAAGAATGAGCATGCTCTTCTCCACCAATTTAAAATCTTTAATGGTACAAAAACATTTAATGTTAAAGAGAGCTAGCATAAGACCTTATTAAGATTCAGTAGACAGTAAAATATGCTAATCAAGCAATGATCATAGATTTAAAAGGTATGTTCTATTTTTAAAATTTCGTATGAAAAATCAGAATATACAAAATTACTGTGATATCAGAGTAAAACATGCTTGTTATGATACTGGACACTCCACTGATCGCTAAGGTTAATTCCGCTTATTTTCCTGATTCTGTAGATACCTCCTGCCTCCCTCATTCTTTGCATAATTACTTCTTATGAAACCATGTGCTCAATCGATCAGGATGATTTTCCCATTTAGAAAAGGAACATTCTTGAGGCAGGGGTATGGAATGCAGTAATTGCACTGTCTTACCATAGCTTACATATTAACCCTGGTCAGTTATTTTGAAGGCTTACCAAGGTATTTTTTGAGATAGATGATACAGCCAGTAGTGTTACCATGCTGATTTGACTGCATTAGTTCAAAGGGTTAATAAAATGTAACGAATAGGGATTTGCATACTTCACTATTCTATTCATGTTTCTCTTTTCTGTTCCTCAGATATTTTGTCTTAGAAATTTACAAATACTGATTCTGAGAAATAATCCTATCAAAGAAATCCCTTCTCACATTCAACAACTTAAGTTCCTTAGAACTTTCAACATTGCCTTTAATTTGATTACTACTCTTCCACTTGGGTAAGGTTGATAGTCTAATTTCCTAATCTATAAAATAAGCAACTACTTGTATGATATCTAAGATCTTTTAAACTCCAATAGGAATGTTGATACTCAGGTATAAAAGATATGGATTTTTTTTCCCACATATGGACGGTAATTAACTGACTAATGAAAGTTTTGGAACCAAAACCTTAACCAAATGCCAAAACAAGATACCTCTTCCAGTTAGATTTTTAACAAATTGAATGCAGCTTAAGGGCAAAAGGTTATAAGCAAAGGGACTCTTAAATAGTTGAGTAACATTTTGCAAAAGAAGATTTTTATAGTAATTAAGGAAGTGCATCAAATTCACTGACAAAGCATTGTTTGTAAGCAACAATCCAACAAGATCTACATTCATATACTGTAGAACTTTTCAGTCATTTTTTATAAAGTATGTGAAAGTTGTATCATTTCTGTGTAAAAATACATATATATATACATCACACATTACACATAAAATGTATAAAAAGAAAGAATAAACACTAAGGAGTAAGGATATTATATTATGGGTTTTATTTTTGTTTGACTCATCTATAGATATTTTCCCACAGTAGCATAAATTGTACTGCTTTGATTCCCTGCCTTGATACTAGAATCAGACTTATCTCTAAGGAAAATCTGTTTCCTTTTTACTGGAGGATGGTATTTAAAAACCAAGATCTGGGTGCTGGATGTTCCCATTGCTATTGGGATGATATTGCTTCTAAACACTCTCA